GAAGAATGAAGAAACAATGAGGACAATTGTTAGGATGACACAGGAGGGCAGTGCTTCGTTGTGTTGTACATAGGGTCACTATGGGTGAGAGACAACTTCACAGTAAGAATAACAAGGAATTTACCACCAGCTTGTTGGAAGAAATATGTGGCAATGTGCTTCTGTAGTGATATACAGCTTTGGAAACCCGATGTGGCCATTCTATTTTCTTAGAGTCACTATGAGTTGGAATCAACTTGATGACAGTGTCCTTGCTACTCTTTCTTAGATTGAACATTAGGAATATAATAGGCTATCATTTCTTTGGTTATGTTACATTATGTGTCAAAGGCAGACATGATTAAGATCAGAGATTCCTTGACTTTGAGTGAAGAACAGAGAGACTATCCTGGATGACCGACCAAATCACACGAGACTTCCAAAGAGGTAAGAAGTAAGGAGTTTCTCTTGTTGGTGACGAGGCAGTAAGTCACCATGATGTGAAAGCCCACATGACTAGGGTAGAGGGTAACCTCTAGCAGCCAAGAATCAACCACTGACAGAATGACACCAAAAAAGGAGGGTCTTAGTTCTACAACTTTGTAGAACTAATTTCTGCCAATAACCCAAGGACTTGGAAGACCCTGAGCTCCAGATGAGAATGCAGCCGTGCCTGATGCCCTGATTTTAGTTTTTGTGAGACACTGAAAAGATAAGCCCACTTTATTGGGTGTGCGTTTCTGACCTATAGAATTGTGAAATATTTTGGATGTTATTTTACTCAGCAATAAAAATATATATATAACAGGATATGGTTTGATCAGGAAAGAAGTCAAATTTCAACTCCAGGTGTGAGTTACAAAGAAGGAAATGAAGGTAATTGCTCATTCATTAAGTTGTTGATGAAAAATAGAGATACGTGTAACAGGGGAGCATAGTTAAAAAGAAAGGACTTGCTTTCAAACAAGTCACCATGCAAGTGAGACGTCAACTAAGCTCACATGGAAAAAGCACACCAATGTCCGTGATACAAGGATTGTAAATTATATAATCCAAATATGAAGGATGGAACAGTATCAGAGCCTTAATGGTGAGATCCTGGTATTTAGAAGTCTATAGATGAAAGTGGAAATCCAAAATACATTTTCAGGATCTACACAGGAATTCCCCTCCAACCATAATTGAGGGAAAGGAATAACCTGGTCATTAGAAAGATAGTATTGTAGAGACAACTGTAGTAGATTAAAATGATAAATTTGACTTGAATGGTTAATAGCTTGTAATCTGATCTTCCTTTAGATATACTTTGCGCTATATTTGCTTTTTTAAAAAAATGTATGCATATATACATACATATGGATTTATCTCTTTTGTATTTTGTCCTGGTTGGTAACCTTCTTGACTCTGTTATGTATTTTTCTATGTTTTTAGTATAGGAAACCCAGGATAATGAATCTATAGAGATGACAGTTGGAATCAGGTTTCCTGGGAGTGCAGTAGGGGAGGTGGAGCGTGGTGACAGGGAGCTGGTATCAAGGAGTACAAGACCGAAGGGAATTTTTAGAAACTGGTATCAATTGCACAACATTGCTTTATATGATTGAACTATGAAATGGTACTATATCTAGATTAGGGTCTTAAAAATTGTTTGAAAAGAAAACAAAAAAGTATGTCTTTGACACATTGAAATACAGAAATTTTCCTTTTTGTGCATTTAAGTGATATATAAAATGGTAAAATTTATAATAAATTACATCTTAGCTTTGCTTAATACCTTGAAAAAATAAAAAAAGATGTACAGAGTCCGAAACCCACAAGGCCAGTTCTGCTCGGTCCTATATTTGATCGATTCTGTCTTGGAAGCTATGTAGGCAGAATCATCCTGCGGATCCAGGATGATGAGGCATTGACTCACGTACTTTAGAGGACCCAAACCCTGGAGAAGGAGATTATGTTCGATAAGCTACAGGGGCAGTGAAAAAGAGGAAATCCTCCATGAGATGGGTTGACACAGGGCCTTACGACAAGGGCCTTAAAGATATTAATAATTATGCTGATGGACCAAGGCCAAGCACAGATTTTGTCTGTTGTATGGGGTCAGTCGGAGTCTGAACCAACACCATGGCACCTAGCAACACAACACAAACGCTATATTTTAACCAGTATTTTATATCTATATTTATCACGTTGTATTTTTTTAAAATCACTTTATGGGGGCTATTATAACTCTTATGACATTCCATACATCAATTGTATCAAGCATATTTGTACATATGTTGCCATCATCATTTCTGAAACAATTTCTACTTGAGCCCTTATATTCTCCTCCCTTTATTCTCTTCCCTTCCCCACCCTCCCACCCTCATGAATCCTTGATCAATTATATATTGTTATTATTATTTGGTATCTTACACTGTCTGTTTTCTCCCTTCACCCACATTTCTGTTATTTTTCCCCTTTGGGGGGGTACTATATATCCAACCATGTGATGGGTTCCCCATTTCTCCCCCTTCTCCCTCTCTGACCCTCCCCTTACCCTCATGGTATCGCTACTCTCACTACCATTCCTGAGAGGTTTATATGTCCAGAATTCCATGTGCCAAGAGCTTATATCTGCACCAATGTGTGTTCTCCGGTCTAGCCAGATTTGTAAAGTAGCACTGGGTCATGGTAGTGGTGGGGAGGAAACATTCAGGGACTAGAGGAAGGATGTGTGCTTTGTCGGTGTTATGCACCGCAATTGAATCATCCCTTCCGTATAACCCTTCTGTGGGGGAATAGCTAATTGTCTAACGATGGGCTTTGGGCCTCCTCTCCAAAAAACGGGATCAGGTATCAAAAGATCCAAAACAAACAACTATATCATCATGTTGTGTTTTATATGTTTATTTACATTTTAAAAAAACTAATGAATGACAACTTTTGAAGCAAATGTCACATTTAATTTGTTTCATATTATTAGATCTAGAACATACTCTAGAATCCATCATTAACTCAGTGATATTCAATTGATATCAAACTTGGTTAAGGTAATGTAGTGGTTATGCATTGGGCTGTTAACCTCAAAGTCAGCCATTCCAAAGCACCAGCTGCTCCAAGGGAGAAAAGCAAGATTTTCTACACCCAGAAAGCATTGCAGCCTTGGCAACAACCTACACAAGCAGTTTTACTCTGTCCTAGAGCAGCAGTTCTCAACCGGTGGGTCACGACCCCTTTGGGGGTCGAATGACCCTTTCACAGGGATTACCTAAGACCATCAGAAAACATATATTTCCAATGGTCTTAGGAACCAAGACACCGGTCCTCTACATGCAGATACGTCCACATACGAGTACCCACGGTGAAGACTGTTACCCATGCTACACTATGCTTCAAGACAAAATTTCATTTATTTGTAATTGGAAATAAATATTTCACAATATATAATTACATATTGTTTTTGTGATGAATCACTGTGCTTTATTTATGTTCAATTTGTAGCAATGAAAATACATCCTGCATATCAGACATTTGCATTATGATTCATAAGAGTAGCAAAATTACAGTTATGAAGGAAATAATGTTATGGCTGGGGGTTACCAAAAGCGAGGAACTGTATTAAAGGGTCGAAGCATTAGGAAAGTTGAGAACCACTGGAGCTAGAGGGTTGTTATTAGTCAGAGTGGACTCGATGACCCTGAGTCTACTCAGTGTGTGTGTGTGTGTGTGTGTGTGTGGGTCCAAAGCGCACCGACAGCTTAGGTAGTAGGGTCGCTTGAGGAAAGGGGCTGGGCTTTTCTTCTGAGTCAAGGAATAACACAAGAAGGGTGGAGCAAGCAAAGCTGTGGAGGAAGAAGAAGCCACACAGGGAAGGTATTAACTGACGGACTTTTTCTAAATCAGGCTTAGCTAATATTCAACCGTGTTTCCCTACTGTATCAGACAAAAAGGCAATACTATCATGGAAAATGAGGTAGAATGGGAGCAAAGAAGGAAAGAATGTTTTGCATAGTTTTTAACTTAAACTTTTCTTTTCAATTGATAACAGCTGATGTTGGTGAACATTTACTATAAACCAGATACTCTACCAAGTTTTCTCATCCATTCATTTAATAACAAGACTCTGGAGCATGTTTTTCATTATTATTTTAGAGATGGGGAAGCCAAGACATGTAACAGTTGCATAACATGTTCAATAACCTGGCAAACACCGAACCTATGCTTGAACACAATCAAACCGCTGAATATATATGAGTGAAAAATTCCTTGGGACACAAGATAAAATTCATAACATCAACCATAAGATTGCGTTTGGAGGCTTTCTGGACCACCACGATAAGGCACTCGTAGGTGGTACAAGTAGTACAATCCTTGGCTCCTGAGATGGTGGTGTGAGTCCATTCAGGTGCCTCTGAAGACAGTCTTGAGTCTTTCCTTCTGAAGATCGCAGGCCTGGACAACTCGGTGGCCCAGCTCTGCTCTGATACACAGGGAATTGTTACTTCAGCAACAACTGGTTTGTTTATATCTTGTCCTAATTTGTCTTAATTTTATTTGTGGCATCAAAGATATGTATATATACTTCAAGTTTGATATTGCAAATTAATAGGCTGCTTTTCTGAGGCATTATCAAAATTATTAACAGATAGTAGGGGTTCAGCAAATTAATTTATGAAGATATTAAATTTGATTCAAATATTGTATCCAACAGATGAACAAAGAAGGAGTTTCTCCTTTGGACCTCCAGAAACTGATGCAATTCAGCTACTTTAACAGAATGAAGGAAACTATATCCTATTGCTTTAAAGTTTCACAAACCATTTAGCCACATTTCTATATATATTTACCAAACACTTTCCATTTCAACTCAGAAAATAAATCACTTATCTCTTTTCCTCTTTTTCACTTGTGTTTTTAATGTATCTTTCTTCTAACAATGAACTTAAGCTTTGTATATAAAATTGTCATTTTCTTTTATGTATGTTTACCTAGTATAATAATTGATTTCAGGTTATGTATGTAATAAATAAGAATAATTTATGATGACAGTCAATCGTGCCTGGATCTCCATTCCCTTCTGCTTTCTCTATGGAACTGCCCTCTCAGGAAACGGCCTGATTCTCTTTGCCATTATCTCTCAGCCCAGCCTCCATGAACCCATGTACTATTTCCTGTCCATGCTCTCCACCACTGACCTTGGGCTGTCCATCTCCACCCTGGTCACCATGTTGGGAATATTCTGGTTCAATGCCACGGAGATCAGCTTCAATGCCTGCTTGTCACAGATGTTCTTCATTCAGCTGTTCACTGTCATGGAATCCTCAGTGCTGTTGGCCATGGCCTTTGATCGTTTTGTGGCCATTTCTAAACCTCTTAGGTATGCCACCATTTTAACTGACCTGAAAATAGCCCAGATTGGAGTAGCAATTGTCAGCAGGGGCACACTAATCCAGGCTCCTTTGGTGGTACTTCTGAAAAGATTGTCCTTCTGTGGTAGCCATGTGCTCCATCACTCATACTGCTTTCACCCTGACCTGATAATGCTTTCTTGCACAGATACCAGGATCAACAGTGCAGTTGGTTTGTTTGCCCTGATACGCACTGCTGGGGTGGACTTCATTTTCTTCACCCTTTCATATGTTTTGATCATTAAGACTGTTCTCAGCATTGCGTCCCCAGAAGAAAGGAAGAAGGCTTTCAGCACATGTATCTCCCATATTGGGGCTGTGGCTGTATTCTATATCCCATTGCTTAGTCTGTCCTTTGTCCACAGATTTGGGAAGCGAGCTCCACCCTATGTACATACTCTAATTGCCAATGCCCTACCTGCTAATCCCCCCTGTGATGAACCCCATTATTTATAGTGTGAAGACCAAACAGACACGCCAGGCTGTTGTAAAAGTTCTCAATCTCAAGGTGCCAATTAACTTATAAGTATTTTAACTTTTCAAGTCCTATTCTCTTTGTAGGTACGAAAAGTACATTGTGAGAGATAAAATTACATGGAATTATTTTTGACCCAAAATTTTCTAAGAGCCCACTTAGTTTCAAGTAAGATGGTAGGTTAAGAGAGGCAAATATGAGCTAGAATTTCTAAGCAGTATAACCTTTTGAAATGAAAACCACAATGATAAGAACATTTATTTTAAATGAAAAACCTTTTGTAATCTAAGAATGGTTTTTAACTACCTAAGGAACCAATTATCTAGGTCATCATGCAAATGTGGCTTCAGTTTGTTTAAAGCAACACATCAAATAAACAAATATAAAGAAGACTGATTTTTGTATTTGTTGTCTCACATTTTTCCTGTGCAGAGAGAAAGACCACCATATATATCTGTTGATAAATGAGAATGAAATTTATATTAAAAACATAAATACCTATATCTTATCCTCTGAATCTGTCACAAGTATCTATAATTATCTGTGGTTAATAAATTATCCTCAATATTCTTAAACTCCCTACTATCCCACGGCTTCCTTGACCTTCTCAGAGAACAACTAGCTTTTTAAATACCCTAATAATTTTTGGTCAGTTTTGCTTACTTTTTTCTTGTTCTTGAGAAAATATTTCTGTGAAAAATAATACTTCTTGATTCAGCTGAATTCTGTACTGCTTCTTCAGAAAGCATTAATATCATATGGCATGATAAACCTACCCTGGGTGTAAAAGAGCTCATCACAAAGATATTAATTTTCTTTTTTGCCGTATGTCTGAAATGTACTTATATGTCACTAAAGACTAAAAGTCCACTTCAGTTTCACTATTCCGCCTTCTGTAGCCATTCAGACCAATATTAAATCTAAATGGTAAAGAATTTGGAGGGTTTTTAAGGCTGTGAGCCTTCACTCTCATTAAAGAAAAACCCACCTCATGTATTTGGGGTTCTAAAGTAGCATACTCTATAGAGGTGCACAACCCATATCAACAAATGAAATAAGTAAAAATATTCTGTTAACCCCCCTATAAATATTGATTTTTTTCTCTTATTTTCCTTCATCCTTCCTCCCTCCCTCTATCATTACCTGTCCCTCCCCACTTCTTGCCCCCTCTCCCATCCCTGGGCCCCTTGTAGTCTTCAATGTCTTATCTTTTGGTGTAAATCCAACTTTCTTTTTTTTCTATTATAATAATGGTGTCATTAAATATCTCTATTTATAACACTGACTAATTTTGCTAGGCATAATATTCTCTAGTTCTGTCCAGCTCATGGTGTTTAAGAGAATTGTCTTTTTTTATACATAATATTCCATTGTATGAATGTACCAGAGTTTGTTTATCCATTTCTCTATAATCAGAGTGTTTGGTTGTTTCCATGTTTTTGCTATTATGGAAATTGCTGCAATAAACAGGCATGCATGTGTCTATTTGTAGGCTGTCATTTACTTCTTTAGGGTATATACCCTAGTAGAGAAATTGCTGGATCATAGACACTTGTTTTTGCATTTGTTTAAACTGGGGCATACTGATTTCCATATGGTTGTACAATTCTATATTCCCACCAGCAATGTATAGGCATTCCAATTTCCAAATCATATCCAGCTTTTTGTTTTGTTTTGTTTTCCTTTTTTCTGATTTTAAAAATTTTTCTAAAAGTGTGGGTGTGAGGTGGTACTTCATAGTTGTTCTAATTTGTATGTCCCTTATTGGTAATAAACACAAACACTTCTTGTTATGCCTATTGGCTGCCTGGATGTTGTCTTTGGTAAATTCTTATATTAATTTTCTTTGAAGTGTACATATAAACAGAAACCACATACAGACATAATTTAATCTGTTTGGCTTTCTGATGCTGTCTTTCATCACTCTCTTTGAAGGAAAGTTAAGTGGGTTTGTCAGGGAGGCTCCAGACAGGAAAACAGAAACCACAGCAGTTATTTTTATAGTAAGTATTTGATGTAAGGACCTGGGTAAGCACGTAATGGAGGAATAAAAAGACAAAAAGAGAACATGGAAATAATACAGAAATAGTAGCAGCAAGAAACAGTTCCCATCCTTTATTTGTGCAGATACTCCTTTCCGTGATGGAAACAGTCACTTTTATTCCTCTCACCTAAGCAGATATCTTTATGCGGCTTAAGATGGTGTAAATAAGTCCTGCACAGGGCAGAGGGCTAGAATAAGACATTTGAATACTGCATGTTTGGATTAAAAAACCTCCAATAAATCTCAGGTGTTAGATTGTTTTTTTTTTACTTACTCTTTGATATTCTTTTGCACACTTTTTGCCTGTAGCTCCATCGAGCGGTTTTATCTTATTTTGTCTTCTAGTGTGTATATGTTACCTTACATTTTTCCCATGAAAATGTTGCTCACTCCCAGAGCAAAAGCAGTAAGACTTTTTCTCACACGCATTGTCTTCCTTTTCTAGGTTGGGTGCAGACTGGGCGTCGGAGTCTATTCCATCGTCCTTGTGTCGTCCAATTCCTTCCTTAATAAAAAGCATTCCCAGGATCTAATTGACAGGCTGAAAGTCACTCATTTAAGTTGCTAAAATCATTTTTATATATTCACAGAATTGCAGAACCGAACCATCGATACAATCAATATTTGAACATGTTCATCCCTCCAGAGTTTGAACTTGTGCCCATTAGCAATACCTCACTTCCTTCTCCAGTACTGTTGCTAGGTGTGGCTGGGTTGTTTTCATCTCAAAACGATCCTATGGACCGCAGAAGGAAGCAGAGCCTGGTTCTAAGTCATCACCACAAACATTCCTATCGCTGCAGCCACTGCTGTGAGTCTGCATCACGGAGGATTTTACTCTTTTTCACTGACCGTCTCGGTGGCTTGATAGCACTGCCAACGTGCGGGAAGGCTCACCATCTTCACTTACACGGATCGCCTTGCTGTATTTCTTCCAAGACAGATGTGCTCATTCTTCTGGCAGTGCATGGTATATTCAATATTGTTTGCCAGCATCATAGTTCAAAGGCACCAATTCTTTTCCACTGTGCCGTATTTATTGTTCAACCCTCACCTGCATAGGAGATTGAAAATATTACACCTTATGACAGGTGCACCGTTGTCTTCAAAGTGAGGTTTTCCTGTTTAGTACTTTAAAGATGTGGTTTACAGCAGCTTTCCCCAATGCAAGCTGCTATTTGATTTCCTGATTGCTGTTTCCCTGCACATTGATTGCAAATCACTGCAAAATGAAACCCTGGACAACTTCAATCTTTCTCCATTCTTGTGCTGCTTATTGCTTCCTTTGTATTTTTATCTCTATTGTTGAGTTGTCATCTACTTTGAAGGCTGTAGTTTTTTATTGTTATTATTAGTATGTTAAGTTATCTTCCAGGAGCCCTGGTTGCATAGTGGTGACACATTCGGCTGTGCTGCTAACAGCTCAGCACTTCTAAACCACCAGCCGCTCCACGAGAAGAAGACACACTTTCTACTACCGTAAACAGCAACAGTCTCTGGGAAACTCACACGAGCAGTTCTACCCTCTCCTCTAAGGGTTGCTGTGAGTCACAATTGACTTTATGGCAGCGAGTTTGGCTTTTATTGTTTTTGTTGTTGTTGTTTGTTTTAACTTTTCTTCCAGCATCCAGGTTGTGTCATCGGCAGAGGGCAGTTTAAGGAGGCTTTCCCCATTCCCTTAGGCTGCGTTCTTTTCATACAGGCAAGTGTCTCTGATTATTTGCCCAGCATACTTATCAAACACCGAGGATGAAAGAATACAACCCGGAACATCTTTCTTAATTTAAAATTGTGCAGTATCTCCTTTGTGTTGAATGATTGCTTCTTGGTCTATGTACAGATTGTGTCTGAGCACAGTTAAATTTCCCTTTCTGAGCAATGTTCTCCATAATTTGTTGTGATCCACACACTCGAATATCTTTCATATTCAATGAAACACGAGTAAACATCTTTTTGGTATTCTCTGATTTCAGCCAAGATCCATCTTGTATCAACTATGATATCCCTCTTTCCATTTATTTCTTCTTCTGAAGCAGGCTTGGATTTCTGGCAGTTCTTCCAACCACGCTTGAATTATCTTAAACAAACTTTCATGTGTGTGGTAATTACGATACTTTCCCATCATTTCTGTGTTCTCCTGGGTTATCTTTCTTTATAATGGGGACAAATATGGACTCTTCAAGGTGGCTGTCTAGGTAGCTGTCCCCCACTGCTGCATAGGTTGTTGAAACATTTCCATAATTATTGCATTCGTTTCTGGAACCTTGTCTTCTGCGATGACTCAGTGCAGTTTGAACTTCTTCAATATAATTAGTTTTTTATTTATCATAATGCTGTTTTTTGAAATTAACAAATGCCCACCAATTTTGGTACATGTATACTATGTATTTCTTTGATCTTCTTTTGATATTTCTTATATATATCATTATTTTGCACATAAGAGTCCTTCAATATTACAGCTTGAGGCTTGATTTTCCCCTTCAGTTGTCTCAGCTTGAGGAATGCTTAGTGTGGCAGTTACATAATCTACTGTCAACTTGCAAAGGGGTGGAATCTAGTCTGTCAATGAGGTCACAGCTGTATGACCTCATTTGGAGGTGCAAAGAAGGTAAATAGCTCACTGGTAACCAGACACATGCTCCACTGCTTTCTCTGCTTAATCTTCCTGCTGACGAGACACATGGAGCCATGCTGACAGAGTCAGAGCCCTGGGGCTGGAGGAGCCATGTGGAGACCTACACCAGTGCTGAGAGGCATCCCCCACCATTGGCTCCTAAAGACTTTCCACCAACAGGCATTTGCTCTTCCTGCATTTAGTGTCATTGCATGTGTTGCGTGAGTCTGAAGAGGAATGTATAGATTGATATTGGACATATGGGCTAATATCAGACTATGGACTTGATCTGGACTGGGCCGGGATGTTTTCTTAACACACAATTACTGTTTTATATAAAGTTCGTTCTTTCTTTTTCTTTTTTTTTAAATGTTCTTCCTTATACAAATATGA